GATTCCTGATAGGCACTCCTACTCAGCACATACATAGATCAAATAGCAGATAATATCAATCAATAGCATCCCTTAGGCTAAGGCATCATGAATCAGACAAATCTAGCACTAATTTTTGCAATACCTAGCGTATCCTCTAGCATGCAACTCTAATATCTCATAATGTAAACAGTTAATGGTACTTTGGGAAATCACCACTCGGGCTTTGGCTGATTGTACACACTGTGCTCCATCTCGTTTTCTCTTTAAACTCTTACCCATTTTAGAAAAAGTCATTTCTCTTTAGAAAATTTTTCTCAAATCCTCAGTTTGAGTCCAGACATACCCGAGAGTACATCTGAATACCTCAAACCAAGGCTCTGATTCTAACTTGTAACACCATAAAATTTCAAACAAAAATTTCATTTTAAAATCACATAATTCTCATTAACACATTTCACAAAACCCCAAAGTATTCAATTATCAAAAATGCATATCCATAATTGTTAATTAAAAATCCAGGATCCTCACAACATAACTCCATCTTGTGTATACAATCAAGCTGACGCCTTCCCGTGATCCTGAGAAGTGCCTGAAACACATATCACATAACACGGTAAGCACAAAGCTTAGTGAGTTCCCTAAAATACCACACATAACTTGTTAGCCTCTCATGGCTATATCTCGAATAAGACCCTTTGGTTAATGTGTCTCAGTGGAACCCTCCGGTCCCACAGCTCGGGTGGACCCTCCGGTCCTAACTCAGTAAAGCTCCGAATAATACACAACATAAATCACGAAGACATAATGCAAGATATCACAATACTTAATATAACATACAAGACCCTCTGGTCACACAAAATTACCAATCAAGGTAAGTATAGTGAGAAGACTCACCTCGGATGATGAACAGCTCCTATAAATGCTGCTGCTACACACTGGTCTCTAACACTAACCCAAAACCCACAATTAACCCAATTAAGATCTAAGACCAAACCTTTACTAATTAGGTATAAAGATAGTCTGTGACAACCCAGAATTTTTTATCAGATAAAGTCAATTCAATCAACCAAAAGTCAGACTAAATTCTATTGCCTTTTAATCTTGTTAAGGGTCATTCTAAATGATTTCTAATCCTAGTACACTTATGGAATAGAAGTTGAAAAGTTTTAGCTTAGTATTGGAGGGATGAAATCGAGCCAGAAAACCCAACACATGGGGTTTACAGCCGTAAACTCTATGTACGACCGTAAACACCCTCCTAGCCGTGAAATCCTTCCATAAGGATGATATCCCTTCATTTTTCATCATTTGTCACAATTTCAAGTCAAGAACTTCCATTCTCTCTCAAATATCATCAAGAATTACTCCATTTCTCGTCCAAATCATAAGTGATTATTCCTTCTATTCCTTGATATCCCTATTGATCTTGTACAACCCGATGATTTCATCCATGGGTTCACCATTTTTGCATAGATCTTCAAAATCATCATCTTTCACCAAGAACACACACTTGTTCTTGGTGGCCATGAACTCCCAAGGGATCTCAAAATTGTAATTATTTCATCATATACTTTGTTATTCTTGAAAGGCCACTAGATCATAACCTTGAAACATCATCAAACTCATGAACATCAAGAGTGTACAGTCGTACACTCTATTTATGGTCGTATACCCTTGTTTCGTTCATAACCCAAGGCCTTAAACACTTTCTAGGTACTTATTATCCATAAGAACTCTTGAACCCTTGAATCCCTAAGAATCAAGAACCAAAAATGCATCCATTTTGGAGAGTTTATGGTCGTACATACTTGGTGTGGCAGTAAACTCAAGTGTGGCCGTGAACACACTTCCTTTGGTCGTACACTCCCCTTTGATCAATCACATGTGATTTCAACACTTCATTTCAAGTGTTTCCTAGTCTCTAAGGGTGTTTCCTTGCATATTAGTTGTTTAAAACACCAATTACATGACTATATATATATATATATATATATATATATATATGTGCCATTATATGTCATTTAGGACTCATTTTTGTCTCGGGAATTCATTCGTGGAACTTCTCATCCTTACACGAATCTGTAATTGAATCACCCACATAAGGTGAGTTCATACCCCTATAATCAATCCTTTAAATGTTTTTAAATGCTTTTAAGGAGGGGGGGATACAAGTTGAACACAATGTTAATTGTGTAAACGTTATTTGTGATAACCATCATATTCAAGGGATTCTTATATGTTATAAGTGATCAAAACCATTTCAAAAACTCTTTTTAAGTTATGCCACTTTATTGTTTACACCATTTTTAAAGTACAATCATAACTAAGTAGATAAAGGGGTCTTTTATTCAAGTCAGTAACAGTTCAAACAATAATACTAGTAAACTATAATAGGTATAGTTTAGGGGTTCAATACAGACTATAATGAGAAACAGAGAGAACATACTATAAAGAGAAATAGGGAGGAACATACTACACACTAGAATAGAAGGATCATACTATAACAAGAACATGATAACAATAACATGAAACCACTACTTCACGACTTAGCAATATACTTGTTAGGTCGCGTTTTGTAACCAGTCTCCTAGAGGGAGTGCGTGAATTTGTGTATAGATCTATACGAGATTGACCGTCCTACACCTTGATACCAGCTATAGTGGGACCTGTAGGTCTACGGGTGACAAATGTCATACCATTTTGATGTCTTTGGAACATCGTGTCTTATACTAGTCAATTAAGCATGGTTACAATTGTATCACGTTTTAACCTTAATTAACAAACTGGTGTTAAGGTAGTTAGTGATTCCGTAATTACTTATACAATATTACTGAATACTTACATTTTTCCATTACATTCATACTGTGATCTTCTCACATAAAAAGTAATGCAAACTATTAAAGATAGCCTTAACTTGGGAAAACTTACAAAAGACAAACAGTACAGTCGAGTCTTAGTACATCCATTTATAAAGGGGCCTATGATTCTAACTTTATGATTCCTCGGTAGATACATCAGGGATATATATATTAATCGAGTCCGGAAGACAGTAGGATCACTACTAGAAAAATAGCCTTTTACGACGCGCAAATTACGACACTCATTAATATATGTTACGCAAACGAGAGTGACATTAAAAAAGTGTCATCTCTTCAGAAAATTTAAGGATTTAGGTCACGCATTATTGCGTGCCTTTAAATTAGTGTCAAAAGAAAAAAAATTAAAAACACGGAGGGCGCTGTACCTTAAATGCGCGCCCTCTATATGTGTCGCTTTATAATTTTAATGAACGCGCGTTCCTTAGTTACAAGCGGGAAAAGAAAAGCCAAAAAATTAGAAAAGCCCGTTACCCTCCCTGCCCTAAGCATTTTTCACACATCTTTCCTTCTCCTCACACTGTTGTGCAACTTCTCAATCAAAGATCGAAGGTTACGATTTCATCTCCATCTCTCGAATTCATCATCTCAATCAAGAAAAAGGGCTTTTGATTTCCATTCATCTACTTCATCGTTGCTGTAATTTCATCTTCTTCATCTCTCTGCTGTTATTGAGAATACTCGCCAACAGTGTGAGGAGAAAAAACGCAAACAATGAGCACCACCTCTCGAATTCATCTCCATCTCGAATTCATCATCTCTATCCCTCCCTGCCCTAAGCATCAGGCTGTTTTCTAGTAGTGAAATTAGAAAACAGTGTGAGGAGAAAAAGGGCTTCTTCATCTCCATCTCTCGAATTCATCATCTCAATCTCGAATTCATCATCTCTATCCCTCTGCTTCTTCCCCTCTTAATCCAGATCTTGGTTCATGGAACTAATTTGCAAAATCCGCCTAATTTTCTTACAGGTGGTGCTCAATCCATAAAATATTCGCATCATCACGAAGCAAAAACGCAAAATCTTCTTCATTCTCTCTCCTCTATCCCTTCCATAGCCGCTTAATATTTCCTTTTTCATGTTTCAGCATATCGATGGTCTGAAATCCAACTTCATGTCAACTATTATCATTGCGTCTTCATCCGGTTATCAGGTAAAATATCCACATTTGAGATTTTATTCACAGTTTATTTGTTATTTAATGTCTGAGCTGTGGTTGAATGGTCTTGAACCTTGAAGCGGGTAGGGTTTTGGTCTATTGTCAAGGGTTTTCTGATATGGTACTCTCCTGTAAATATATAGTGACAATAGATATTTCTTTTGTCTAATTTTTTCATTGATATGTGGTATTGCAGGTTATATCACTGGACAACATGGTTGATAGGCTTTCTGATGTTAAGCTTCAGCCAACTAAGGTACTGACTGCTATATGTGGCCTGATTATGTTTCTCCATTTTCCAGGTCAAATTTTAGTGTAAAATTGGTGGTGTTATTTAAGGATAAGGTCGTTAAAGCCAATGAGGTTTTAGCTGCTGGTCATCAACCACGCCCTATCATGGAAACCATCATTGTAACCCTTTTGTATCTTGCCTGCATAGTGAGAAAATTGAGTTGGAGGTATTTAAATCCTTTTAAATTTTATTGAACGTCATTTCTTGTGAAAAATATTCACCACATGTTCTTTTTTCTTATCTGACTGATTTAATTTTTAGTGAGGCACTACAAAGGCAAATTTGTGTAGAAGATGTGTAATAGTTATCAAGTTTTTGGACTGATTTTTCTTTGGTGGGGATATGTATGCTTCTGTTGACCTTTTAAATTTCATGCAAGCTGTTTTTATGATCTGTGTTATTGCTGCTATCGATTCCTCCCAGAGGTACTATTCTTGTACTTATTTGCCGACCAACCAAATCCTTTATACTTATTGCAATCACTTTACTGCAGGGAGCTGGTTGCTGCTGTGAGGATGCTACTTCCCCAAAGCTGAAATCAGGAAAAACTCCACATCCTTGACCTTCCATGCTGGTCCCACTTCCGCTTCGTGGGGCCAGAATGCCAAGATGGCTCTGCAACACGTGTTGCTGCTGCTGTATCATTGTAAAGGGTGGTTGCTGAGGGAACACTGTGTGTGATTGAGTCAACATATGGGAATTTCCTTCGACCAAACTGAGCTCAAAGAAGTCAATGTAAACATTCAACAAACTGGTCAACCACAGAAGAAGCAAAAACGTCGTGGAAGACCTCCTAAGACACAAGGTGAATCTACATCATTACATCTGACTGATGACGTGGCGCTTTTCAAGAAATTAGAACGCAGGGGAAGACCACCTAAAGTGCAGGCAGGGGAGTTGACCAATGCAAAAAAGTCAAAGCTTGTGGTGGGCAAGAAAAACAACAACCAGTTGAAGGGTAAAAATGTCAAAAAGGGTCCCAAAAGTTTCCAAAACAGAATACCAGTTGCCCTTCATCATCCTGATGAGGTACATATCCATTTCTATGAATATTCCCAATTTTGTTTTATCGAGTAAATTAAATGTTTGGTCTCTGAATATGGCTTATTTTTTCAATTTGGTCCCAAAAGTTTTCTCTTGCAGTTTTGGTCATCCTTTGAGGTTCTTATAACTTTTTTGATCCTTGTTCCAAGTAATACCTGATTGTTTTCAACTTTGGCCCCAAAAATATAGTCATTTTCTTGAAACAGATACCAAAAACTTCAAATAAGACCAAAATTGCAAAAATTAGGGGACCAAAAATATAATTAACTGTTGTTTGTTTTGTTATTAAATGCATTTCAGGGGGATTTGGGGTATATATACCTTGATTTAAATTGTAGACAGGGGAAGTATCCTGGTTGTGCTCATTTTGCCATAAGAGGAGGGCGTACAGTTTCCAAAACAGAATACCAGTTGCCAGTAAGTTGTTATTACAGTATATTTTGTTTTGTTCATCAAGGGCAAATTGCAGGAATTATTATTGTATTCCATTACCAAGAATAGAAAAAAAGTGATGAAATGTTTTTTGTTGATTATTATTGTGAAGGTGATTGTCGTTGTTTGCAACTTCTCAAAGCCCCATAATTCATCAATCGTGAGACTTAACCACTCTGATGTGGATACCCTTTTCCATGAATTTGAGCATGCTCTTCATTCCTTGCTTTCACGAACAGTAAGTGTTGCACCATTTTTAAAGACTTGATTAAATTAATCAATCTTTGGTACTATTTTTATTGTATTATGAATTGGTTGATCAAAAACTGTATAGTGATAGATTGAAAAGCTTGTTTATCCATTTCAAAATTTCACCAAAATTGACATGAAATTCTATAACTCTCGAGATATTAATTGTGGTACATAGGGAAATTCTTGATTTTATAAAATGTGTGTTGTCTCATCAGGCACTTGTTGTGTTGGTTCATGATATGGTCCAACCGGGAGCTTATAAGTGATGCCATTAACAGCACTTTGCAATTCAAGGTAACTATCATATCTGTTGTGTTTGTTGGTTCATTATGTACATCATTCAACCCCAGACCGTATTTCAAGTTATTCATTAATTGGTTATATTGAACTTTGGATTCTTGGAAAAATGTATGTTACTACATGTGTATTAAATTTTAATATTTTATAACATAGATTGATGATGCTTGAAGCCTTTCTGAATACTAATGTGTTGACGATGAAAATAGGTATCATGCGGAAACAGAAACATAACAATAAGAAGTAGAAAGAAGAAGGTGTTCCTTAATAACAATGTAGTATTAGGTTATATAGTTAGGAAAACCTCTTTCCATGGAACGATTATTTGTATGACATTAAATTGATGCAATGGATTCTATTTTTTGTATATTATTATTTTAATTTCT